GAGACGTTGTTGAGAATAATAGCGTTTGTTATCGAGCGACTGTTGAAATTAAGTGTATCGCAAAGTTGTATTCAGAGAGAATAAACCAGTTTTATTTAAGAAAGGACTTGTGTCGCTAAAGTTTCGTAGGAACGAATTTACGGAAAATTAACTAACGAACGGAGACGTAACATTATTTATGTGATTACGAATCTTTTGGTATTTTGGGCATGCCTTTATAACTAGCGGCATGTGGACCCTGGCAGTTAGCGCATTTCATTTTACTTCTTCGCGTTGTTTGGGACAGTTTTCGACTTCATGAGGTCCGGCGCATTTACATGCCGTGCATTAACTGTGCAGTTAGGTTATGAACGACCGAATTTCTGGCAATTGAAACAATGCAGTACTAACCTAAGGGAAGGGGGTTGGCGGGTTCGGTTCTGTACGTTCGAAAGAACAGTGTACAGCCATTCGAAGGTAGAGACTCATATTCATCTTTAGCCTCAAGGCTGACTTTTACTAGTGGTGTTTTTGTTTGGTTTTGAATGATGCGATTAGTTCTACTCTCTTTGGTGTGAATCCTGTCGCAACCAGCTCATCTAAGATTTCTTTGTCATCAATGTAGAGTTGTATGTTTTTAATTATTAGTGTGTGGAGCTGGAGCGTGGTGCTGGGAGTGTGAATGGAGGTATTACCAGCAGAAACGTTTTGATGCCAGTGGGCCAGAATGTACGCATAATATTTGGGCTCATTGCATTTAATTACCAGACCTGCTTTAGGAAGATAGTTAGCGTGTTTTTTTGTGTGTGGAGTTTGGAGGATGGTTACCTTCATTTGTCACCTTCCTCTCGATTTCTTCTTTTTGACTGCAATGAAACCGTAATTATCTTCAGCGTGGGTGTCAGCGTTTATGTTGGATTCAAATGAGGATCTAGCTAAAGAGTAGCAAGAATCCGTCTTAAAGTCCGAGAGAATCGTGTTTGGGATAGATCCGACGGAAACAGCGTTGGTTTCAGCCCAGGCGAGAAGGGCTTGAATCTCGGCATGGTCAAGAGCAGCACTCGTTGACCGCGTAGTAACGCCCATAGTTGACGTCGTCGGTTGTGGCATTGCTTCGTTGATTGTGGCTCTAAGAAGGGCCGTGGTATCCAACTAGAAAAAACGAAAAAGATAAAAGAACAAAATTAGTTCGTTGCGACACAAACGGAAATTCGAGCCAATACCAAACGATAGATTTACACGAGGGCGCTCTATTACACTCGCGAAACGGGTGATACTAACGCACTTGCGCATGACAATAATTAAGACATCCAAATTATGAAGTTACGGTTGCGTACTATGTGTTAAACAACATACGTTACTGTTAGGTAATATTAATGCTATTTTTTTCGTGATCATGCTAAACTGCTGATTATTTCATTTAGTAAAAGTAACTTTATTTGTTTACCTGTTTTAATTCATAAATAATAATTAATATTACTTCCATTTTTCAGTTTCATTTGGTAAACGGTTACCATGCGAGTTATAATTACGATTTAGAAATGTTACTGTTAACCCTATTACTATTAGTATTACTAAGTATTTCTTTTACTTTTAGTATTACTATTACTTCTAATTTAAGCAAGTTGTCACCACAACAAGTCAAAATCTACCTACACGGAATATTTAAATTTGAAAAGAAATCAATATTTGTCTTAATTTGTGTGAAGAAAACCCACCGTGAATGTTCACGTAAGTTCAAATATTAAAGTAAAACTAAAAGTAAAAATATATTTTGTTGAAATCTTGTAGGCATTTAGGCAATTCATTGGGAATTATGATTTGAGTAAACCTGTAGAATAATATCTTGTCCTTTGATTTTGAATAAGAAAGAGGTTATTGGGTGTTTTCTTTAAAATAATTTGTCTGTTTAAATAAGAAATTTATTATTGGTTGTTTACTTTAGAATATATTCTTGTCTTAATGTCTTGTATGTGAATCCAAAATATTGAACAACATGTAATGAAACTGCCTTTCTAAGTTTCTTTAAAAATTTTTTCAAAATTTTTTGTTATAGAATCTAATATAAAATATGTTGATTTAAATAGTTTTAGCACTGTTTACATACATAACAAAATTTGATATGTTAGGTTTACTAATTATATATTCATGTTGTAAATTAGTGAAGTTTATATGTAATGATAACAGTAGTTGTTTTTTCTATTAACCCTTTCAAATGTTGTTTGATTTTAGAACATATCTGTTCAAGTGAAAATGGAACATCCTGGTGATCTGCTACAGGATGATGTTATATCAAAGTTCAGTTACAGTGATGATGAGGATCAGGATAGTTCACACTGTAATGTTATGAATGTGAAAACAGAAACTGAATATCAAAGAGATTTTGAATCTGATTTAGAAAGAACATCTGGTAAGTACAAACATCTTCTAAAACTTATGTTTGTTAATACTGGCTTAACACCATACAGACTTGGTGTGTCTGATCTTGTAACCCTAACTTAAATCCAAGTTTCCTTACTCTTATTATGTTTTCGTATTTTTGTGAAATTCAGTAAAGATTGCTAAATCTTTTATGTACAAAAAAATAAATTTTTCAATTAAATATCTTTATTGAACATTTCCCATGAATATATGTAGTCAGTGTGTTGACTACTCACAAGTGTAGGGATTTTTTTTGTTAAGATTAAAAATACTTTCTTCATCTTAAAATTGTCAAATTCCATTTCAGTAATCTCTAGTATGCTAAATAAACATTAAAGTTTTCAGTAAAATTATATTTTATCTGTTGTTTTCTTTACCAGGACTTTATAAGAAATCCATCAATTTGACCAACCTTTCACCTATATCTGACTAATAATCCTGCACTAGTTGTAAATCACTTGGTGAAGTGTTGCTTATGTTACTGTATTGAATACATAACCTGTGAACTGCTCACAAGCATACCTCATGAAGAATTGTTATTAATATTTTTCATCATATTACTTAATCTAATCTAGAAAGTTCGTAATTTTTATATTTTATACTTTTTTAATGATAAATATAGAATATACATGAAAACAAGAAATATATCACTATTAAACACATTACAGATTCTGCTCGATGGAGAATGTTGCCTGTTCAGGTATACTGATATCCAAAATCCACACTGTATGACCTAACAAGTGTGCCCGGCTCACTGTTGAGATGGAATGTACCACAAGACCACTAGTAGGTTCATCCTTGCAGTATATTGCTTCACAAAAATGTTCATGTGAGACCATACATTAATAGTCTACATGACTGAAGTACAAAAGGATAGTTGTCCACCCCTTACATTCCTTGGATTGTTGGAATCAGGAATCGCCTGCTTTTCACAATATAATTTCATAGTCACCCACTTCACTTTCTCTGTTGATGCATTCCTCTGGACTCTCCAATGCATTTTGTCCCCTCTTTTTCCAGTGGACTATGGGAGTCCTTACCACTAACCAATTCCTAGCTCCTGGGGTGGTGGACCATGGAGGACTCCTCCCAAGTGTGCACAATTCAACTCAGTGAAGAGTACAGAGGTGGTAGTCTGCCTATGTAGAAGGCGTGACTATCTTCCTGCTGTGGGTATGATGTTATATGCCACATGCTGCAGGTCTGAACTGGATTTTTCCATCTATTTTTCAATTAACCCTTCCAGTTGGGAACCCTCTCTTTCACTGCCATCTGTATATTGCTTGGAGCTGGACCAGCCAACATAATTCCTCACATGTGAGCAGGCTGAAATGCTCATCCTACTGTCGACTGCATGGTTTTCGACTGGAGTTAACCCTCCACTTTACATTTCCATCTTCCTGCCATTGTTCATATGTACATTCCTCGGGTTTATTACTGTGGGTTGTGATGGATTTTCACCCATGATGGATTAGGTACTCGGAACCGAGGCTCCTTTTTCCTTCTGGTTCTTAAGTCTGAGGTGAATGGTTGAGGACCTTCCATGGGCCAGTTTATTAAATCCTGGTGCCTCTGGTTTGGACTGGAGTTGACTTCCTGTCCACTGTGCACATATTCCACTTCCATGTTGATTTGGCTCCAAATGGGTGAAGAGTAGACCTGGTTCAGTTATGGTGGAGTCTCCCATGTTTCCTTTACATAGAGATGCCACACTCCATGGCTGCTCTTCAGATGTATTTGCAGGGTACTCATATATGTATATTTACACCTGTCCCTCCTGAGGGATTCTAGTTGTGACTGTGAGAAGAGGTAAGTGACCATAATGGAAGTTAATATTTTCCTGCATTGAAAATATATTTCCAAAAGATACCTCTTCTCACATTTCCCACCCATCCTCCCCACTTTCGGTGTCAATATTTTTATGGTGCCTGATCTCAATGTGAAGATTGGGTTGAAATGAATAGAGGGAGTTAGCTGCAGTAGGAGGGTTTGTGTCACTCCTATTGGTAGAGGATTGTCACATGCTATAACTCTTTTAACACTGGCTCGAGTTGTGCTTATTATAGTTTTCGTGCTATAACTTTTAAATTGGTAAGCGACTGTTAATGAAATTTGACAGTAAACATTACAAAGTTTTCATATGCAAAATATCTAATTTTTTTTTATTAATTCTTAAGGTTTGTTTTTCTAATGTCTTTTTTATTTTCACATCTTGCCTATCTATCATGCAAAGTAATTTTCATTCTAGCATTAAAAATACTTTTATGCATCAGAAAAGTTTGAAATTTCACAAGTGAAATCTTTATAATGTCTAGATAGTTATCAAACTATATATTTTATCTGTTATTTTCAGTAACGAATCTCTGTACAGGTTTGGTAAATTTGACTGATTTCGCAACTGTCACAAAAAAATTAGGAATGAACATAAATTATGCCTCTTTCATTCTAGAATGAACACAAAGTATAACACGAAAACAAATATGTTTAGACGAAATAGCTTAAATCTCATAACATTATACATTTATTTATATTTATTATTTTTATTATATTGACCTTTCACCCGTGCCTGG